GACAGCTCTGGGACAGACAGCTCTGGGACTGACTGGGACAGCTCTGGGACAGACAGCTCTGGGACAGACAGGGACAGCTCTGGGACAGACAGACATCTTTGGGACAGACTGGGGCAGCTCTGGTACAGACAGGGACAGCTCTGGGACAGACAGACAGCTTTGGGACAGACAGACAGCTCTGGGACAGACAGGGACAGCTCTGGGACAGACTGGGACGGCTCTGGGACAGACAGCTCTGGGACAGACACAGCTCTGGGACAGACTGTGACAGCTCCGGGATGGACAGACAGCTCTGGGACAGACAGCCAGCTCTGGGACAGACTGGGACAGCTCTGGGACAGACAGACAGCTCTGAGACAGACTGGGACAGCTCTGGGACAGACAGACAGCTCTGAGACACACTGGGACAGCTCTGGGACAGACTGGGACAGCTCTGGGATAGACTGGGATAGCTCTGGGACAGACAGACAGCTCTGAGACAGACTGGGACAGCTCTGGGATAGATTGGGCTAGTTCTTGGACAGATTGAGGCAGCTCTGGGACAGACAGGGACAGCTCTGGGCCTCTGCTCTGGCAGGGAGCTCTACAAGGCCCTTTCATGTAAGAGCTCAACAGCAGGGCTCCTGTACTGGTTAGTCTTCCCCTTACAAGTGGGAGTCCCAACACAAGCCATCTCAAGCCCCCACCAAAGCCTCACAGCTCTCGCCACCCCAACAGACATCACAGGCCATCCCAACACCCTGACACTGCAGGCCACATCCTAACCCTCCAAGGTATCCCACGATAGGCAATGACCCCTCTGTGATCCACAAACATATCTCTGAGCTCCAAAACAAGATGTGTGTCTGCCATGTGTCACAACCAGTCATCAGCCAACCCAGGACTCTCCCTCTGTCATGTAATGGGCTGAAATTCGCAAGATGAACGTCTGACTTCCCTCACGCTCCAACACAAAGCGCCCCCACCCAGTCCCTGGAGCTAGTCCTCCACACGTGTAACAGCTGAGGAGCTGTGCACCACCCCTCCTCCTCCACGCAGATGGAATCTTCTACCTTGCCCTCAAGGAGCAAAACCCAGAAACGCCCTCACCCAGACCCTGCGTATCCCAGTACCACTTCCCCGCCCTGCCCTGACCCTAGCTGGTGTGGAGGTCACGTGTAGAGGGCTCTCACCAAGGGTTTACCCCATCTCTAACTGCAAGAATGCCCTCCCTCCACCTCCAGGGCAGCTGTCATTACTAGAGTGAAGAGAAGTCTGCGGTGTGTCGTGTGTGTGCGCGTGTGCTTGTGTGCGTTCATGTGTGTGCGTGTGACTGTGTGCGTGTGTGTGCGTGCATGTGGGTGTGTGTGGGTGCTTGTGCGTGCATGTGGGTGTGTGTGGGTGCTCGTGCGTGCATGCGTGTGCATGTGTGTGTGTGTATGGTTAATTCCTTGATCCTGTCCTGATACAAACGAGCTTTGTGGTCCCTTCCATCACGAGTGTGTCCACCTGGCCCCTGACAGCATCTGGGCCTCTAGGGCAGCCACTGCAGGGGTGCGTGCAGGCCCCCGGGCTGGCCCTTTCCTGCAGGCCCTCCACCAGGGCTCCCTCGCTCCACGCTTCTGCTCCACACTGTGGCCTGCAGTGACTGTAACGAGGTCCCCTTGTTTGATAACTGCCCCCATCCTCTTTCTTGCCGTATTGACCTCTTGGTCCCCACCCTCTGAGGCTCTGCACTTCACAGGCCTCCCTTAAATTTGGGGTTTGACACTCTGCATAAAGTTTGCCTTCCTTGACGTCATTCCTTAAAAACTGTCCTCCGTCCCCTATAAGAGAAGGAGGAAGAGGCAAGGGGCCATTGGAAGGAGTCCCCAGGCCTGCCACCCACATCAGCACCAGACACAGCCGAGCCTCATCCTGGGCTGCTCGGCTCACTTGTCCCTCCCTTCTCTCTCCTCTGTGCCCGGTACTCCCTACTCCTCACCCACCTTGGGCCACGGGTTTCTCGGATCTGCAGGGATTCTCTGGCTGTGAACTTGGACTCCTGTCTCAGCCATAATTCACACCTGTCCCCACAACTGTGCTGATTTCAGCCTCTCTAGGAAAACACATGCCCTTCCCAGCCCTGCCTACAGGACACAGAGGCTGGACCTCTAGGGGGCCCACCTGGTCCAGGAAGAAGGACCTGTTTTTACCCAGACCCTGCTCTACTCAGACACTGGACTCACGGCACTTCCTCTTTGAAACCTCTCTGAGCCAAGGCCCCGCCACGCCGCAGAAACACCCACCTCAGCACCAGCCTCGGCTGAGGGAGTGCCTGGGATGCTCCGGTGGCTGTGGCCTTCTTCAGGGGTACTGCAGCAGGGAGACAGCTAGTGAAGGTCCTGAGCCTTACCTTGCGCATGTCCTTGCCAAAGGTCTCGCTATAGGTCGTGCCGAGGATTTCAAACTGGACATAGGGATTTGAGCTGTCCTCCCGAAACTCCATCACCCCTGTGAGGCCAGTGATGTGGCCCTGCAAGAGAAGAGGAGAAACCACTGAGGGGAGGGAAAGTGTGAGGGAGAGGGAATGGATCCCAAATGCTCAGGAGAAAAAGGAGCAGGGAGTGGTCACCAGGAAGGAGGGAATTGAGTCTCAAGGGGGCCTTGGACAGACTGTAATGAGGAACAAATCCCCAGCAGTCCTAGGGCCTTGGAGGAGGACTTAACTCTGAAGCTCAGTCTCCTTATTCTGAAAATGGAGATGGTAATAATAATACAGAGCCCATGAAGCCTAGTAAACCCTGGTGGTGTAGTGGCTAAGAGCTATGGCTGCTAACCAAAAGGTTGGCAGTCTGAATCCACCAGGCGCTCCTTGGAAACTCTATGGGGCAGTTCTACTCTGTCCTATAGGGTCCAACTATAAGTTGGAATCGACTCAACAGCAACAAGTTTGTTTTTTGTTTTTTTATGAAGCCTAGCTCATCCCAGCCTTCAAGTGCTGCTACAGGAAGAGCTGGAGGAAGCGAGGTGAGTAGGCAGGGGCCATTGGGACAACCCATGCAAGGAACCCGGCTTCCAACCAGTTGCTTGAGGGGACAGAGAGTTGTGGGGGAGACTGCAAGCAGGGGCCTATGTTTGGTCTTGCCCTGAGAGGGTGCTCGGAGCACACACCTTTTTGATAGTGTCCAGCATGGACCTCCCTCCATTCCACGGCTTGGTGGACTTCCGTATGCAGTTGAGGCTAGCCATGCTGTGCCACTTGCGGTCCTCTAGCTTCCTGTGGAAGGCGTTGGCCAGCATCAGAACACTGTCATACAGGTAGAGGTTGGAGATCTGCAAAGACAAAGGTGGTGAAACCATTTCTACTGGGACATTTCCAGAGAGAGGGGGAGAAATCAGGAGAAGGCTGTGGTGGCCCAGGATGCCCACTCTAAGAAGTGGTACCCACATACCTATGTCATCATCCTCTGGCTTCTAGTTATCCATCCAAAAACCCCAGCTAGGTGTTGAGGCACTGGTGGAATAAGACCTAGCCCTGTGTCAGGAACTACAGTGGGAGGCAGATCCGTACAACAAGGAGCACCAGGGTGACCAGCACCACACTGAGATGTGCACATGACCCCATGCAAGACTACAGGACGGGCATCACGGTCTGATTAAGTGGGGAGGGATAACAAAGCACGGAGGGATGCATGGGCAGAAAGCTCAGTTCTAGGATTAATAAGGAAAAGGGCAAGAGCATTACAGGGAGAGCACAGCCTTTGGGAAGAGATGAAAGTACAAGGAGCATGAGGAGTTAGGGTGAGGTCAGCCAACTTTTTCTATAAAGGACCAGAGAGTAAATATTTTAGGGCTCACGCTCTGTTGCATGCTCGCAACTACCCAACACTGCCATTGCAGTGCAGAAGTGGCCATAAACCAGTTTCTGTTGGGTCGACACAGACTCACGAGGATATCGTATATGTCCAAGTTTAACTTTGCTCCATAAGGTTTTCAACGACTGTATTTTTGGAAGTAGTTCCGCAGGGTTTTTTTTTGGAGGTACCTCTGGGGGAACTTGAATCGCTAACATTTTGGTCAGCAGCTGAGTGTTCACCATTTGCACTACCCAGGGACTCCAAAACGGGCCTTAAAACTCATTGCGGTCAAGTCAATTCCAACGCATAGCAACTCTATAAGACGGAGTAGAACTGCCCCATAAAGCCTCCAAGAAGTGGCTGGTAGATTCGAATTGATGACTTTTTGGTTAGCAGCGGAGCTCTTAACCAACTGCACCACCAGGGCTCCAAAAAGGCCTTAGGCAATATGTAAATGATGGGTGTGGCTGTGTACCAATAAAATTTAATTTACAAAAAACAAGCAATGAGCTGGAATCTGCCTGTGGGCCTTAGTTGGCTGACCCCCAACCCCCGGGTCAGATGGACTGGAAACAGTTCAAGGTACTGGCATCAACAGCTACAGTAGGTGGGGTAGGTTCAAGAGTGAGGCAGGCATCCAGCAAGGCAGAGCCTGGTGGGATGTGCTAAGGACTTACAACACCATCCTCTAGGTACAAGGACATCGTTGGAGGGCCTGCACAGAAAGCCAGCAATCACATGTATGGGGAAGCAGGACAGCCTTGCTCTCTTACTCTCACCCCGACCCCCAATCCTCAAGCAGGCATCATGGAGCACAAAGGGGAGGAGCAGAAGGGATGGGGGTGGGGGCAGAGATAACATACACCTTCTGTCAGATCTGTGATCCTGCAAATGATAGCTATTACACAAACAACTGTCACCAAAGTGGGTCAAGGGGATGATATTCTGAACACCTAAGCAGAAAGTAGCTGCTAAAAATATTTCAGGAAAACAAAGTCACTAGATATAAATAGGATAATATGTAGGCCTCACAGGGCTCCAGGAAAAATCAAATAGGATCCTTGCGCTGAGGGAAGAACTCCTTACCTCCCACCACAACCCAGTATATCCCTTCCATCCCAGTGCCCCCACGCCTAGCTTCCTGCCTGCCTGCACTCTGATGTCTCCAAAAGCAGAGGCCCACACAAGGACTTTGGTGATGGGAACCGTCCAGTGCAATTGCAGGTGAAACCAGAGGTGGGCCAGGAGGAGGTGGGCAGGACATCAATAGCATCACGTCTTTCAGGCAAACCCTCAAGCACCATTTCCTCCTTGATACACTGAGCAGAGCTGACTGCTTCCTCTATGGATGTCTCTGTGCTCTGATCATGACTGCAGAGCCCTGTTATGTCCGCCATGGTCCACTGTTGTCGCCTGTGACCACTGTGGGCAGAGGGATGAGCACCACTAAGCCTGTAGATATGAAGCCTCCCCATGCTGTGAGTGCGGAAGTGGGTGGGGATGGAGGCATGGATGGATGGACAGGAGCTGTTGCAGAGATGGCAGGAGGGTGCCTGGGATGACTGACAACTGCTAACTTCAACAAAGGCCTCAGGCCACAGGGAAGGCATATATTTAGTACCCGGACTGACCTTCTTCAGGGGCCTGCTGTACACAAAGATGCTTACATGACAGCAGAGAGGGGCAATGTTCACCACCACTGGGAGCCTGCCCTCTGCTCCTCATCCTACAAGGAGCATCATGTCAGAACCCTGTGCTGAGGGAGTACATCCTGAATAAGGCTGACTAACCACTCTCTGCTTCTGTCAGCTCCTCAGCACTAAGGAGCCCCCACAGAAAAATTATTTTTGACATGTCTTCCTCCCCTTTGGAATACAAATTCATAATGGAGGTGCTGTTAAAAGGAAATATGAGCAACTTAGAGTTGGTGTGAGCTTATTTATTTAGTTTTTCCAAAAGGATAGCTCAAACCTGAGAGTCCTTAATGACATGAAAGTTTCTCTTCTCAAGATATTCATGGTATCTCCCAGCCACCCACTCACAGGCGGTGCTGTTCAGCCAGCCTGGACTCTTTGACACACACCTCCACCTATAGACATACTCACACACGTGGCAGCACCACCACAGCTGTGACCTAGACCAGCACACAATGGAATTTCTCTTTCTGCCTCCAGCACTTCTATTCACAATGAATTAAGGTACTTAACAAATGTATGAATGCAGAAAGGCCTGTAATGAAGAGAATAAAGCAGGATGTGACTCACAGAGGCCAAGGGAAGCCCTCAGCCCTCCCACAAGTGTGTCTGCTTAGAAGTGTAAGAGTATCTCAGTTCAAAGGATCAGGCTTGATCAATGTTCTCTTCCAGGTATGGATATGGGTCCTCCCTCTGCCCTAAGATCACCTGGGCACCCTCTTCCATGATATGTTATATACCATCAGCTCATAAAGCTGTTTGCCTCACCAAATTTTGAATTCCTTAAGTGAAGGGTCATGTATATCTCTTTTCAATATCTCTAGATCCTACCACCAGCCAAGGCACATGGCTAGTGCTTAATATATGTTGATAGATGGATGAATAGTGGATACATGGGTGAATGCATGGTGGATGGATGGATGGATGGATGGATGGATGGGTGAGTGGATGGGTGGATGCATGGTGATGGATGGATGGATGGATGGATGGATGGATGGATGGATGGATGGATGGGTAGATAGGTGGATGGGTAGCTGCATGGTGGATAGATGGATGGATGATGGATGGATGCATGGTGATGGATGGATGAGTGGATGGGTGGATGCATGGTGGACGGGTGGATGGACAGTAGATGGATGGATGGATGGATGCATGCATGGATAGGTCTCTTCCTAAGAAGGCACACACTGATCTTGGTTCCCAAAATCAGAATAAACAGAATATATAGAAAACAGCAGGAAAAAGAAAAGAAAGAAAACAGACAGCAGGAAAAAAAAAAGAGAGAGAGAGATTCGAGGATTGCCTCTAATTTTGACTTAGAAAGGAGCCTCCTTTATTGAAACAACAATTTATTTCCCATTTATAGGTTACTCAAAATATCTCCTTGATTCCCACTTGGAGCTGTTTCCATTTACTCCATTCACTCCTGCGCCTTCTCCTGGTAAGATGCTGTCTCAGTACTTCTGCCTGATTTTCCAGAAGCTCACACCCCAGTTCAAGGCAAGTCTGGATGGTACTGCTCTGTGTATCCACAGTCTGTTATCCAACCTCAGAATGCCCACTTAGGAGACCTGCTACATTCACTGTTGGAGAGGCAAAGAGAGGGGAAGGGTCCCTACCCTCACAGTCTAGTTGTCCAGAGAAGGGACTTTTGAAGGAAAACAACAAGAGTGAATGGCTAAAAGCAGCCTCTGCTGAGAGCCCAGGGCCTGATTCCAGGTGGCACTAATGGGCACACAGCTGGCAAAGGCTTCCTGAGAGTGGGGACACTAGCCAGGCCCCCTCAGGTCCTGACAAACGGAAAGGTTTTCCTCAAGGTGGATGGGTGCAGATCAGTGTTAGGGCTCAGGTCACACCAAGCCCCTGAGCCAGAAGAGAAGTCTGGTAGGGGAGAGGCTCCCAACTGCTAGGCA